TAAATAATAAGCATTTCCACATGAAAATTCAATCAAAACAATGATTACAATATTCGTATAAAAATTATGAAACAGTTGGCAGACTGAATCAATCAACAAATCTAATAGCTGATCACGTAATCACGTAACTACTCCGTGGCTAAATTATTTTTGTCTACTCCAGAGGTTCAATAATTACAGCGATTTATTACATATCTTGGTGTTCCGGTGATTGATTTGAAATTAGAAAGCGCTCCAATATATACATATATGTTGTACCATACAATGTATGAAATTCCTTGGTTGTTGGATAACTTCGTTGATCAAAATTATACAGCTCTTACTGCCATTGGACAGCTTTGGCTAGAAATTGGACGAGATATTGCTGATAGTTTGGTTAGTCAGTACTTAAAGTCGACTGTTTATTTCCAAAATTTATAATTACACAAAGTGGTACACCACTTATCGTGTCGTGCAGCTTCTGCATGAAAATTATCTGAATCGAATCTAGATTATACCTTTCAATCTACACGATTACGCTTTGGCATTAGCTGACTTTATCTCAAGGATGGAACAACAACTGGAAAATATTGGAATTGCCAAAGTTATCGGCATAAAAGCATACCATTTAATATTCCACAATCTACGAAAAGCATTATACCAATTTCAAACACAAGCAAACTTATTACAAGAAATCATTCAGGTTATTCCCAATTCACAATAATTATTCTGATCCCAAGCATAAATATTTGATAATTCTGTATTAGAATTCTTTTTTTCGATAACTCTTCTTGATCACTGATACTACGTTTGCTTTCAAATTCGCGCTTATTGAAGTAGAAAGTTAATATTTAATAGTTTATAGCCACTTTTGTGGGATAAAAATAGTTTATAACAGAAATTACATATATGCTATAAAGTTAATAATAGGCAGATAACATTGTTAGGAGTAATCAAAGTTTCAGTCAGTCAATACAGGTCAAGAATCTGTCAGTATCAAACAAGCGGAAATGCTAAATAATCGACTGCAGTATATTGAACGAGCATTTGTAGCTGAACAAGGAATTTACCCGGAAAGGAGCGAATTCCGACATTTAATTTTCAGTAGTAATAGAATTTACAATGATTATGGAAATTCACTATTTGGAGGAATTGTAGATCCGGCATTTCAATGGCAACATATGTTAAGCAGAGGTAATAAAAGTAAGGCAGATTACTGGCTGAAAATAGTGAAAATAGGTCTTACTAAATTACAGTATGCTATAGAATCCGCAACTCTGATAATAGACTTTGACGGATTTTATGACTAAAATTACTTGCAACGATGATATTGTAGTTCTTAAAGTGTAATACACAGTTTGTGATTTTAATATTTAATATTTTTATATTGTACCTTCAACTTACTGCCTCATTACTTATTGCTCATTTTTCTGCTCTCTTATACCATATGTATTTCTTCACAGTTTTTCTCTCTTTTCGTTTTCAATTAGATCTAATTACTCAATTAATCGTTCGAACATGAATACTGTAATTCTGATCCGATGCAATATCAATTATTCGCGTTGTTTTAAGTTCAATTCAATATGCGCTGAATCTTGATAATTTGCATGTTTCGTGCGCGATTACGAGATCAAGATTAAACTAACGATCTCCATTACAGTAACTAAGAATTCAAGGAATGAAAGAAAAGTGACTAAATATTGCAATGATATGATCATAAATAAGACCACTAAACAAAAACTTGCATTACTGTGAATGGAGTGAAGTCAAATTCAAACGACAATATGACCGACTTCTCACTACACACAACTTCAGATTATAATATTATTGA